CAAAGTGTGGCCTCTCAGCTCAAGGTGCTGTGTTCAGTCTTAGTTGGAGGTGGGCATAGCCACCATCTCTTGCTGGAGTCTAACCAGCAGCCTTGTTGTTAGGAGCAGGCGCTCTATCCACTGAGCCATCTGGGCGGCAGCTCTGCTCAAGATGTCAAGTTCCGTCTTAGTTGCGGGCGGGCATAGCCCACCATGGAACAGGCAGTCTTGTTAGGAGCTTGTGCTGTCACCTGCCACCTGTTGGCATCCTGCTGAGCCATCCTGCCACCTGTTGGCAGCTCAGCAGTAGCTGAGCTTGGGCACAGCTCACTTGCCCATGTGGGAATCAAACCAGCGACCCTATTGCTCAGATCTCTCGCTCTTAACCAAACTCAACTCACTGAGCCAGTGGGCCGGGCCTGATTCATTGTTTGTATAAAAAGCAAATCAAGATAAATCTTAGCCTGCTGAATTTCTGCTTTTTTTGTATCTAGTCATTAACTTCTGAAATAAGCTTTGGTGACATCTCATTACGAGCTCTTATTCTTTTCTAAATATCAGGTAGTCTCAATTCTTTAAAAATTTTGACCCTAGAAACACAGTAAATAACATCTTGAATCGATTTCTAATAACATTGTGTCTGTGTGTAATTTAGATGAGAAGCCCTGCATTCTTTCTACTCTATCATGTGGAAACATCCATTGGTACTTATTCATAATATTAGGCCACTTCAGTGTGCATTTGGTGAGGATGTCCACTTGAGAACCTAGTGTGGTGAGTCATTTTGATATTCAGCAGCTTTTGTCTTCAATTTCCATGATTTGTTAAATTAGTGAGCTGGGAGCTACCAAGTAGTTGTCCCCTCAAGTCCCACTTGTTCATTCTCTGAAAATGTGATGGACAGACCAGACAGACCTGAAACTCAGTTCCCATAGAGCCAGTCTATTCACTGTGAAATAATTGGATCAGTGTATTTCCATAGCTAACTCTTTTTTATAAGTTTTCAGCACCAAAATGTGTGTTCATTTTTTATGGTTTTTAACTAATTCTCTGTGATCTCCTGGAAAACAGGAAGGAAATACACCTGGGGAGCCAGCCCTTATAGATATTGCCACCAAACCCCCACACTCCCCAGAGCTCTCAGGAGTGCAGAGTCTGAGATGAAGTCTGAGACCTGTAGCCCAGTGTGACAGGAAACAGGTCTGGGGAGCAGGTCATCACCCCCAGGGAGACTTAAAGATGCCATTTCCTGGGCCTCTGCAGACCTGCAGAACCATAACTCCTTAGAGGGGGCCCTGATCCCCCAGAGACCTCTATGCTCATTGATGCTAAATGGTTCCCATCAGGGTTCCTTCTAGGTCACTTGGGAGTTTCAAAGAGTGATGTCACCTGTGCCCTCCCCCTGGGAGTGGATAAGTGGCCTGGGTGGAGCATCATTGTTGTTTTAATGAGGTGTTCAGGTGACCCTCAGGTAGGCCAGGAGTTAGCTAGGGGCTCCTGGACACAGTTCTGACTGTTGAGAGAAACCTTTGCTCAAAGGGAGGTTATGGGGTGCTCTGTTGCATGTGTGGGGGGCAGGAGAGCATCCGATGTTCTCATTGCTGCAGGAATTTGTGGACATCTGTGGAAGGGGAGAGCATGTGAATCAGGAAAGAGAAAACTGACAGTTCCGTCTTCACTTATGAGCTTCTTCTCCCTGACTGCCCTGTGACAAAGGACAGGAAAGGACAACCTTCTTAGCATTTCAAAGTCCTTCTGGCTGTCAGTTTGGAGGAAGTAGATGAAGGGCCTGAGCTGACGCCCTTGTGGGCACATCCTCAAGATGCGCATGTGATTCTTCCCCAGAACTTGATGTGAGGAAACAACCCAGAGCAGGAGGAGGATGAGGACAAAATGGCTGCTTCTCAGGTAAGCGTTCCATCCCGGGTCACAGGCTCTGTCCCCTTTTCCTCCTAAAATCTGGTGGGTTTAGGACCTGCCACCTTTAATTTTCTACTTCTCACATTCCTGCCCAGCGAGTTTCTTTTCACCTACTTACTTTTTCGTGTCATGAGAGTCAAGGTCAGACTGTAGAACACTCTGCCTTTCTCCCAGAGCCTTCTCTGCATTTTGTCCATCCAGGCTCCCTCAGGACGTGAGGAATCTCACCATGATTACTGACCCTAAAATAATGACAAAATCCACCTGGAAAGGGGGTTGTATCCAGGGTTCCTATTGGGCAGAGTCAGATGCCTGGTATCCTGAAGAAGGGAGGTGTAGGTGTGTGTCCTGTGACTGCAGCATCACGGCTGTAGAACGGGGGTAAGAATGTGCACCAGGACCCAGGATGGCCTCTGCTCAGAATGGCTTGGAATATTAGACAAAAAAAGAATTATTGGAACTGTTTTGCTCACTAGATTGGTGATATTGACTTGCTGTTTAAATGCACTATTAGAGTTCAGAACACAGGAGCTGTATGTGCAGTCAAATTTGTATAAAACTAATATTTTTATGATCAGATTCATATTATGATTT